GGGCGCCCCCCAGTCCCGGTGTTCCCCTTCCCCACCCTCTCCCAGGGTTCCCCCGGCTCTCCCCATCTTTGCAGTTCCCCCCCTACCCTTCAGGTCCCCCCCGCATCCCCCCAACTCGCCCCTGCGCTCCCACCCGCGGAATGCCCCGGTCTCCCGCTGCCGCTCACCGCTGCTCCGGTGGGGCCGGTACACCTGCTGGTCGGGCCGCCGGGGCCGCGCCGGGGCCGGGGTCAGCCGCGTCCGCGCTCGGCCCCGCGCCTGCCGTACCGCGCGGTCATACGCGTCCCTGGGCACCGCAGGGGCCGGGTTACCGGGGGGACATCGCGGTTACGGGGGTGGGGGGAGAGATGGGGGAGCACCGGGGCCAAAGCGGCCCAGGGCCGAGAGTCCCCGCGGGTGGCGGGGGTTCCGGGCCGGTGCCGGTACCTGGCCAGCTGGTTGCGGCGGATGTGCCTCACGAAGCCGTGGCTCATGTCCAGCCGTCCCCCCGGCCGGCAGCGCCAGCTCGGGGCCGCCGTCGTCGCCGCCGGCTCCATCCCGGTACCGGGGGCGGGGATCGGTACCGGGACGCGGCGCCTTTAAGAGCCCCGCCGGCCCGGCCCGGAAGCCGGCAGGGGGCGCCGCAGTGCGCAGGCGCGGCAGCGCCGCTTCCCGCCCCGGCCCATCCTTGCAGCCCCGGCTGCGCATGCGCACCGTCACCAACGGTTCGGCCCCGCCCCCGGCTGCGCATGCGCACCGCTCCCCACAGCCGCCATGTCGAGCCGCGGGAGGCGGGACCGGGAGCTCCGGGAGCCCCGCGGGGCCTCCACCGCCTCCTCCGCCTCCTCCGCCCGGGGCTCCTCCCGCAGCCGCCGCGACGCCGATGCCGAGCGGCCGCGGAGCCGGAGGGAGGCCGAGCGGGAGCGCACGCGGCGGGAGGCGGCGGAGGCGCTGCCGGTGGATCTCGCGCGCGTCAAGCGGGAACCGGGCACCGGCAGCGGCGTCTGGGGGAGCACCGGCACCGGCACCGGCACCAGCACCCCCGCCGCGCCCGTGCGTGTGAAGAGAGAGCGGGAGCCGGATGGAGACTCCGACCCTGAGCCCGAGCCCGCCGGTGGGGACCGGGGGGGGAACGGATGGGATTAAAGGGTTGAGGGGACACGGGGACCGGGGGCAGTGACGAGGGAACGGGAGCCGGGATGGGGCACGGGGAACTGGAGGGGTGTGGAGAGACCCAGGAGTGCGTGTGGGGACACACCAGGGTGTAGAGGAGGCGTCAGGTCGGGGTCGGGGTCTGGGCACTGTGGAGGGACACTGCGGGGTACTGGGGCGGGTGATGTCCCGGAGAACACCGGGGGAGCGGGGACAGCTCACAGTGATGTCCCGGAGAACACCGGGGAGCGGGGACAGCTCACAGTGATGTCCCGGAGAACACCGGGGGAGCGGGGACAGCTCACAGTGATGTCCCGGAGGACACCGGGGGAGCGGGGACAGCTCACAGTGATGTCCCGGAGGACACCGGGGGAGCGGGAACAGCTCACAGTGATGTCCCGGAGGACACCGGGGAGCGGGGACAGCTCACAGTGATGTCCCGGAGAACACCGGGGAGTGGGGACAGCTCACAGTGATGTCCCGGAGGACACCGGGGAGCGGGGACAGCTCACAGTGATGTCCCGGAGGACACCGGGGGAGCGGGGACAGCTCACAGTGATGTCCCGGAGAACACCGGGGAGCGGGGACAGCTCACAGTGATGTCCCGGAGGACACCGGGGGAGCGGGGACAGCTCACAGTGATGTCCCGGAGAACACCGGGGAGTGGGGACAGCTCACAGTGATGTCCCGGAGAACACCGGGGAGTGGGGACAGCTCACAGTGATGTCCCGGAGGACACCGGGGAGCGGGGACAGCTCACAGTGATGTCCCGGAGGACACCGGGGGAGCGGGGACAGCTCACAGTGATGTCCCGGAGGACACCGGGGGAGCGGGGACAGCTCACAGTGATGTCCCGGAGGACACCGGGGGAGCGGGGACAGCTCACAGTGATGTCCCGGAGGACACCGGGGAGCGGGGACAGGATTTTGTGTGCAGAGGAGCTGGGATGACCTATGAACTGATGGGAGAGGCTGGGGTGTGAGATGGGACACACTGGGGTGTAGGGGGGACACTGGCAGGGGAGGGATGGGGAATGGGGTGTCTAGGGGGATTCTGGGATGGGAGTGGAGTGTCTGAGAGAATTCTGGGGTGGGAGAGGTCACATCTGAGTGTACAGGGAGGCACCAGGACTGATCCTGGGGGTCCTGAGCTCAGCTCTGGGYAGGGTCTGGAGACACTGGGGGGAACTGGGGCTTAGCCCCAGGAAGGTGTGACAGAAGGGGGGCTGGAGGGGCCTGAGTCATCCCAGTGCTTTTGGGGTCCTTGTGCCCCCCTTGTTAACACCCTTTTGCCCTACAGTGCGTTACGGACGCTTTGACCCCGAGGACCAGCGCAGCCGGCACTGTCCCTATCTGGACACCATCAACAAGTGGGTGTTTGGGRTGTTTTTGGGATCCCCCTGTCCGTGGGAGTCCCCCCAACTCCCCCCCAGCCCTGTGACACCACCCTTCCCCCAGGAGCGTCCTGGATTTCGACTTTGAGAAGCTCTGCTCCATCTCCCTGTCCCACATCAATGTCTAYGCCTGCCTTGTCTGCGGGAAGTATTTCCAGGGTGAGACACCATCCCCYGGGGCTGCTGGGGGGCATGGGGACATCAGGGACACGCAGGGGCTGTTGCAGAGCACGGGGACACCCAGGGGAACGTGGGGGACAGTCTGGGGATGGGGGGGATGTCCTGGGGGGATGTCCAGGAATAGGGGTGCTTCTGGCAGATATCCTGGGGACTGGGGGTGACAAGAGACACCTAAGGTCAGCACTGCCACCTACCAAAGAGGACACGGGACATGCAGGGAGAACTCCAAGGATTCCAGTGGCCGCTGAAGTGGGGAATGGGGGGTCCCCAGGGTCTGGGGGGCTGCCTGGGGGGACATGAGAGACCCTGAGGTCCAGGGAGCTGCTTGAAGGGGCACATGGGACAGCCAGGGATTGACGTGCTGCCCTGGGGGACACACGTGAAGACTGTTGCTGGGGTACCCCAGGGGTGGCAGGGACATCCAGGGACATCCAGGTGATGCTGAGGGACACAGGGGACACTCAGCGACAGGGTTTGTGCCAGGGAAGGTGGCAGAGARCAGCCAGGGACAGGGATGGTGTCAGGGGGTACAAAAGGGGGTGCTTGGGGAGGGACACCATGGGGACATCCAAGGACAGGGTCACTACTGGGGGAATTCGTGGATTCTCCAGTCGGCACAAACCCCCCCATCCGTGGGTGGGGGATCCTTTCTGTGCCCCCTCCCTTTCCCCACGGCTGCTCTGTGCCTGTCCCTGGTGTCCTGTGTCCCCCTGACAGCGCTGTCCCCGCAGGCCGCGGGCTCAAGTCCCACGCCTACATCCACAGCGTGCAGCTGAGCCACCACGTGTTCCTCAACCTGCACACGCTCAAGTTCTACTGCCTGCCCGACAACTACGAGATCATCGACTCCTCTCTTGAGGACATCACGGTGCGGGGTGGCTCTGGGGGCCACCGTGGCATACCCAGTTCTGGGGGGTTGGGGTTGGATCCCCCTGCTGCTGAGGGTGGTCAGGTTTGGGGTACCCTGACTCTGAGTTGTCATGTTGGGATCACTCTGAGGAGTCACATTGGGGTCSCCCAGCTCTGAGTGTGGGTTCAAGTGTGGGGTCCCCCCAGCTCTGAGGGGTCTGGGTTGGGGTCCCCCTGTTTCTGAAATCTCTCTGTCCCCGCAGTACGTTCTCAAGCCCACCTTCACTGCCCAGCACATTGCCCACCTGGACAAACAGGCCAAGCTGTCCCGGGCCTACGATGGCACCACRTACCTGCCTGGCATTGTGGGGCTCAACAACATCAAGGCCAATGATTATGCCAACGCTGTGCTCCAGGTGACACCAGAGTTAAAGGTTTTCTTTTGTGGTGAACCCCCCCAAACCTCACTGTGTGTCTGACRGGGAGGAATCCCATTTTTTCTCCCATAGGGCTGTACACTGTGGGGGTGTTCAGGGTTTGTTCTGGGCTGAAACCCTCCCAAAGTCGTGCTGTGAGGCATCAGGGATAAATCCCACTTCTTTTATTTTATTATCTGGGGGATGCTGGCTTCAATTTGGGCTGAATCCTCCTGAAATCCCACTCTTGGAGTCTCGAGGGTGCATCCCACCTTCTCCTCTCCAAGCATTGCAATTGGGAGGTGCAGGTATCCTTTTAGGATAAAAGCCTCCAATAACCCTCCCCAAAACCCAGTTGTGGGGCTGACAGGGATCCATCCCACCTCTGGATCCTTTCCAACTTTGACTATTCTGGGATTTCCCCACAGGCATTATACCCAGGACAGCGCAGAGTTTGTTTTGGCATGACCCCCTCCCATAACTCCCCCAAAACCCTCCAAAATCACCCCTCTGGGGGTCCCGGGGCTGAATCCCCCCTGCTCTCTCCCCAGGCCTTGTCCAACGTGCCTCCCCTGCGGAATTACTTCCTGGAGGAGGAGAACTACCGGCGCATCCAGCGCCCGCCCGGGGACATCATGTTCCTGCTGGTGCAGCGCTTTGGGGAGCTCATGAGGAAGCTCTGGAACCCCCGGAATTTCAAAGCACACGTGTCACCCCATGAGATGCTCCAGGCTGTGGTGCTCTGCAGCAAAAAGAACTTCCAGATCACCAAGCAGGGTGGGGTTTGGGGGGACAGGGCTGGGCCTGGGGGCTGAGGTGGGTGTGAGGGGAGGAACTTGACCTGGGAGGCTCTGGGTTTGGCAGGGCAGGGCTGGGTCTTGGGAGCTTTGGATTTGGGGGACAGGTCTGGGTTTGGGGCTCAGTGCTGGGTTCAGGACTGTGGATATGGGAGGCAGGGCTGGGTTTTGGGAGGCAACACTGGGTTTGAGGTCTTTGGATTATGGGGTCAGGGCTGAATTTGGGGAGAAACTGGGCCTGGGGAGCAACGCTGGATTTGGGAGGCAGTGCTAGTTTCAGGGAGTAGGGCTGGATTTGGGTGCAGGGCTGGATCTGGGGGCTCTATATTTGGGGGTGCAGGGCTGGGTTTGGGGCTCGGGGCTGGGGCTCTGGATTGGGGAGGCAAAGCAGGATCCGGGCTCAGCTCCAGCTCTGCTGTTCCAGGGGATGGGGTGGAGTTCCTGTCCTGGTTCCTGAACGCGCTGCACGCGGCRCTGGGCGGCACCAAGAGGAAGAAGAAGAGTGAGTGGGGGAGGTTTTGGGGGGTTCTGGGGGGGGCGGGGCCTTTGGGGGCTGCTGTCCCCACACTGAGCCCCCGCTGTCCCCCCAGCCATCGTCACMGACGTGTTCCAGGGCTCCATGCGCATCTTCACCAAGAAACTGCCACACCCTGACCTGGTGGGCCTGGGGGGGATCGGGGGCATTGGGGTACAGTGTGGGGAGGGGGGAAGTTAAGTGAGGGATGTTGGGGTCTGGGGGAGGTGTCAGGGTCCCATGAGCAGTGTTGGGGTATGGGGGGTGATGGGTGTTGGGGTCTGGGGGAGGTGTCAGGGTCCCATGAGCAGTGTTGGGGTATGGGGGGTGATGGGTTTTGGGTCCCATGGGGAGTGGTGAGGTATGGCGGGGGATGGTGAGATCCAGTGGGGGAGTGTCGGGTCAGCTGGGGGTGTCTGGGTGTGGTGGAGGGTGTGGGGTGGTTGAGTCTGATGGGGGTTGGGGTACATTGGGGGTGATGGGGTCAAATGAGGGGTGTTGGGGTGTGGTGGTATCAGTGTCTGACTGGGGGTGGCAAGGTCAAATGAGCAGTGGCAGGGTCTGGGGGAAGTTGGGGGGCATTGGGGTACAATGGGGAACGTTGGGGTCCGATGAGGGATGTGGGGTCCGATGTGGGGTCCAGTGAGGGATGTGGGGTCCAGTGAGGGGTGTAGGGTCCAATGTGGGGTCCAATGAGGGATGTGGGGTCCAGTGAGGGGTGTAGGGTCCGATGTGGGGTCCAGTGAGGGGTGTGGGGTCCGATGTGGGGTCCAGTGAGGGGTGTGGGGTCGGATGTGTCCAACGGGGAGGTCTCCCTTGTGTCCCCCCAAGCCGGCCGAGGAGAAGGCGCAGCTGCTGCAGAACAGCGAGTACCAGGAGCGCATGGTGGAGTCCACGTTCCTGTACCTGACCCTGGACCTGCCCACGGCGCCGCTCTACAAGGACGAGAAGGAGCAGCTCATCATCCCCCAGGTGCCCCTGTTCAGCATCCTGGCCAARTTCAACGGCAGCACCGAGAAGGAGTACAAGACCTACAAGGAGAACTTCCTGAAGCGCTTCCAGCTGACACGCCTGCCCCCCTACCTCATCTTCTGCATCAAACGCTTCACCAAGAACAATTTCTTTGTGGAGAAAAACCCCACTATCGTCAACTTCCCCATCACGTGAGCCCTGGGCGGGGTGCTTGGGTGGCTGGGAGAACGTGGAGAGGGTTAAAAGGATCTGAGAGGAGATTGGGGCTATCTGGGGAGGGATTGATGGTGTCCAGGGGGTCTTGAAGGCTTCTGGAGGGGATTTGTAGGCATCTAGTGGGGGTTGAAGAAATCTGAGAGGGGTTTTAATTCTGTGGTTGTCTGAGCAGGGTTGTAAGCATTTAGTTGGGGTTTGAAGGTGTTTTGTGGGGGTTGGAAGCAYGTGGAACCATCTAAAGGGAGATTGTGGGAGCTGCATGATGTCTGGGGGATTTTGTGGGTATTGGGGGTTGTGGGTGTCTTGAGTGGGGTTTTTGAGCATCTAGGAGGGGTTGAAGGCACCTGGGAGAATTTTGTGAGTATTTGGGGGGATCGTAGGCATCTGATGGGGTTTGCAAGCACGTGAAGAAGGTTGAAAGCATCTAAGAGGAGATTGTGGCCATCTGGGGGGGTTGAAGGCGTGGGGGGGTGGGTTGTAAACATCTTTGAGGCACTGGAAATGTCTACAGGGGGTTTGGAAGCACCTGGGCCAGGGGATTAGAAGCATCCAGGGATTTGAAGGTACTGGGGTGGTTTGTGGTATCTGGGGGGTCTTGTAGGCATCCAGAAGGGGTTTGAGTGGTTTATAGACATCGAGACGGGGTTTGAAAGCACCTGGGATTGTCAGTGTGAAACATCTGAGGCTTGGTAGGTGTATAAGGGGTGTTGTGGGGCATCTGAGGAGGGGGTTGGAGCCGTGCAGGAGGCATTTGGAAGCACCTTGGAGGKGTCTGTGGGTGCTGTGGGGGTTCCCCCTGGCCAGAGCCCCCCCTGAGGGAGTGTGGGGTCCCCAGGAACGTGGACCTGCGGGAGTACCTGTCCGAGGAGGTGCAGGCTGCACACGCCCACACCACCTACGACCTCATCGCCAACATCGTGCACGATGGCAAACCCTCTGAGGGCTCCTACCGCATCCATGTCCTGCACCACGTGAGTGTCCCCTCCTTGGGGGGTTGGAGGGGCCACGGGGACCCCCCCAAGTCACCCTGTCCCCTCCCGGGTCCTGGCAGGGCACAGGGAAGTGGTACGAGCTGCAGGACCTGCAGGTGACCGACATCCTGCCCCAGATGATCACACTGTCTGAGGCCTACATCCAGGTGAGGTGGGACAGGGGGGCCATGGTACCCCCAGAATGTTTCCTGACATCCCCTGAATGTTCCTTGACCCCCAAAATGTCCCTTGACATCCCCTGAATGTCCCCTGAACCCCAGAATGCCCCCTGACATCCCTGAATGTTCCTTGAACCCCAGAATGTCTCCTGACACCCCCAGAATGTCTCCTGACACCCCTGAATGTCCCCTGAACCCCAGAATGGCCCCTGACATCCCTGAATGTTCCCTGACCCCTCTGAATGTCCCCTGAACCCCAGAATGGCCCCTGACAACCCCTGAATGTTCCCTGACCCCCCTGAATGTTCCCTGACCCCCAAAATGTCCCTTGACATCCCCTGAATGTCCACTGACCCCCCGAATGGCCCCTGAGCTCCCTGAATGTCCCCTGACACCCCCAGAATGTCCCCTGACATCCCCAGTATGTCCCCTGACATCTCTGAATGTTCCATGACACCCCAGAATGTCCCCTGAACCCCAGAATGTCTCCTGTGCCCCACCCAAACCCTTCCTTCTCTCCTGCAGATCTGGAAGCGACGCGAGGATGATGAGACGAACCAACAAGGCGCCTGAGACCCCTGGGGACACCCAGAGACCCCCTTGGGGACATTCCCAACCCCTTAGGGATACCCTGAGCCCCCTTTTGGGAACACCCAGTGCTCTCGTCGGGAGCACTCCAAGCTCCCCCAGGGACACTCATAGCCCACCTGGGGACACCCAGACCCCCCTGGGAGCACCCCTAATCCACCTGGGGACACCCCCAGTCCCCCCAGGCAGTGTGTGTGTCCCAATAAATGCCACCCACTATTTTTGTAACTCATTTCCCTCTTTCCTCATTGGGTTTGGCTGGGTTTGTGGTTTCCTGTGACACCTCCCTGCACCCCGTGACACCCCCAGCCTCCATGGCACCCCAAAACATCAGGGACACTGAGGCAGAGCTGCATCCAAGCTTTATTGGGCAGTGCTGGGGGGGCCCCGGTGCCCTCCTAGAGCCAGACGTGCTCCTGGCAGTGCTGCAGGGCCTGTGAGGGGCAGAGGGGTCACCTGGGGAATGCAGGGGGTGGCAGGGTCCCTGTCCCCGTTCTGCAGAACTCACCTGGCAGCGCCGTGCAGCCTCAGGGCCAGAGCACCAGAACAGGGGRCCCAGGGCACAGGGGCCCAGGGGGAGGGACAGCGTGGGGGGACCGACACCCTTGGGGTCCTGGGGGGGACATGGGGGTCAGGAGTCACCCCAGGACCCCYAAAGTCCCCTCCCCAGGCTGGACCCTGGCACTTTCTGGGGACCTTCYTGTGTCCGAGGGGTGGTGGGACTGCCTTGCAAATGTGACACCCCAGGATGTGTCCCCAAGAAGTGTGACACCCCAGGATGTTGTCCCCTTGGGGCTCCACCACCATTTGTGTCCCTGGCATGGCTCCTGGAGACGGTGGCACTATGGGATGTGTCCTTGGGGCTGTTACACCGTGGCACCCCAGAATGTGTCCCCAGGAGTTGGGACACTCCCAGATGTCTCCCGCTCAGTGCTGTGCTGGGGGTGCSCTGTCACCTCCCCGGGGACCATCCCCTCAGCCTGGTGTCCCCCCGATGTCCCCCCGTGTCACCGCTCACCTCCCCACTGACACACTCCGACAGCTGCACCACGATGGCCTCCAGCACCSAGGGGGGTGGCAATGTCGCCATGTCCTCCTTGTCCCAGTCCTCGCTGCCACAGGCGAGGAAGAGYCGGCAGAGCATGCGGGGTCCCAGGCGGCCCAGCAGCCGCTCCAGCGCCAGGGCCGCGTAGCGCTGGGCCAGGCACTCGCACGCCCCGGCCAGCGGCAGCGGCAGCGCCCGGCACAGCCCCGCGGCGGCAGCGGCCACCGAGGCCACCGGGACAGCGGCCTCGGCCCGCGCCACCAGCGTGCGGCACAGCCAGCACGTCGGCATCGGCACCGGCATCGCCCCCGGGGACAGCCCGGCCGCTGCGGAGCCCGGCGGGGACACGGGGGGCTGCGGGAGGGAGGGGGATCGCTGCAGCCCCACTGGCTCCGGAGCTCGGTGCCGGGGCTGGGGCCACGCCCGTGCCCCCACAGCACCGCGGTGCCCGTGCCCGTGTCCCCTCGGCACCGTCGTGGCCGCTGCCACCCTCCCCCGTTGTCCCCAGGTCCCCGTACCTGCGGGTCGGTGCCGAGCGTCTCAAGGACGGGCAGGGCCGGGGCGGCSCCGGGCTCTCCGTGGCACAGCTTCAGCCCGGCACAGACCTGCCACGGCGTCTGCGGGCACCACAGGATCACCCAGATGCCATGGGTCCCCAAGCCCCCAGCACCCCGGGGTGTCCCCCAGACGCCATGGTGTTCCCGAGCCCCCAGCACCCCAGATGTCTCCAGTGGCCACAGTGTCCCCAGCCCCCCTTGCTGTGTCCCCACTGCCACTCAGGAGATGCTGGAGTTCCCTGAGGAGGGACACCCAAACCACAGACCAGCATGGGGTCACCAGGACAGGCAAACTGAGGCACAGAGCCCCCAGCACCTGCTGTGCCACCCCCTGCACCAGGGCACCCACAGTGACACCCACGGTGACACCCAYCACTGCWGCATTYACCACCACATTCCAGCCACACCTGTCACCACTGGCACCCATGGCACGTGGCATGGCACCTCTGACCATGGCACACGGTGGCATCCATGCTGTCACCTTGCCACCRTGGCACCTGCTGACATCTGCCAGCACTTCAGCCACCACCCCAGYACCCACAGTACCATACATCATCAGGGTGGCATCTGTGATCATGGAACTTGCAGTGTCACCCTTAATGGCAGCCACCACTTCAGCAACACCAGTGGCACCTCCATGTGTGGCAGTGGCTGGCACCCAGCATGACACCCGGTGGCACCTGTGCCCACAGCCCCCATGGTGACAGCCAGAGTGGCACCTGTCCCCTGTCCCTGCGGGCACCTGTGTGGCTGATTGGTTGGAGATGCGGTGGACAAAGCTGAAGAGCTGCTGACACACGGCACAGGTGTCCTGCAGGAGAGGACAG